AGTAGTAGTAGTCGTTGTAGCAGTAGTTGTAGTTGTAGAAATAGTAGTAGGGGTCGTAGCCGTAGTAGTAGCAGTTGTAGTAGTCGTAGCAGTCGTAGCAGTCGTAGTAGTCGTAGTAGTAGTGGTAGTAGTAGTAGTAGTAGTAGTAGTAGTAGTAGTAGTCGTCGTAGTAGTAGAAGTAGTAGTAGTAGTAGTAGTAGTAGTAGTAGTAGTAGTAGTAGTAGTAGTAGTAGTAGTAGTAGTAGTAGTAGTAGTAGTAGTAGTAGTTGCAGTTGTAGTCGTAGTAGTAGTGGTAGAATTGGTAGTAGTAGCAGTAGCCTCAGCTCTAGTAATAGTAGTAGTCGTGGTAGTAGTAGTAGTAGTAGTAGTAGTAGTAGTAGCAGTAGTAGTAGCAGTAATAGTAGTAGAGTAGTCGAAGTAGTAGTAGTAGTAGTAGTAGTAGTAGTAGTAGTAGTAGTAGTAGTAGTAAGAGTAGTAGGTAATAGTAGTATTATAGCTAGTAGTAGTAGTAGTAGTTAGTAGTAGTAGTAGTAGTATTAGTCGTGTCGTAGTTGTAGCCGTAGTTGTAGAGTAGTAGTAAGTAGTAGTAGTAGTCGTAGAGTAAGTAGTAGTAGTTAGTAGTAGTAGTAGTAGTGATAGTAGCAGTAGTAGTCGTAGTTAGAAGTAGAGGTAGTAGTCAGAGTAGTAGTAGTTGAGTAGTAGTAGGTTAGTAAGATAGTAGTAGTAGTAGTAGTAGTAGTAGTAGTAGTAGTAGTAAGTCAGTAGTAGTAGTAGTAGTATTCATCGTAGCAGTAGCCTCAGCTGCGTAAGGAGCAGTTAGTAGTAGTAGTAGTAGTAGTCGTAGTAGTAGTAGTAGTAGTAGTAGTAGTAGTAGTAGTAGTAGTAGTAGTAGTAGTAGTAGTAGTAGTAGTAGTATGTAGTAGTAGTAGTAGTAGTAGTAGTAGTAGTAGTAGTAGTAGTAGTAGTAGTAGTAGTAGTAGTAGTAGTAGTAGTAGTAGTAGTAGTAGAAGTAGTAGTAGTAGTAGTAGTAGTAGTAGTAGTTGTAGTAGTATTAGTAGTAGTAGTAGTAGTAGTAGTAGTAGTAGTAGTAGTAGTAGTAGTAGTAGTAGTAGTAGTAGTAGTAGTAGTAGTAGTAGTAGTAGTAGTAGTAGTAGTAGTAGTAGTAGTAGTAGTAGTAGTAGTAGTAGTAGTAGAAGTAGGAGTAGTAGTAGGAGTAGTAGTAGTAGTAGTAGTAGTAGTAGTAGTAGTAGTAGTAGTAGTAGTAGTAGTTGTAGTAGTGGTGGTAGTAGTAGTAGTAGTAGTAGTAGTAGTAGTAGTGGTAGTAGTAGTAGTAGTAGTAGTAGTAATAGTAGTGGTAGTAGTAGTGGTGCTAGTAGTAACAGTAGTAGTCGGAGGTGAGGGGGTGAGATCGAAGTGGAACGGAGAGCACCCCTACTGGGAAATCGATTTCGGTTTCGTGTTCGTGCGTGCCGTGCGTGCGGGCGAGGCGAAGCTGCGTGGGCGGGCGAGAAAAAGTTTCCTGTGGCTGAGGCGCGGCCGGACCAAATGTCTCCCTTCCGGGCGGCTGGGGGCCCGCGGTGTCCCGCCGGTGTCCCGCCGGTGTCCCGCCGGTGTCCCGCTGGTGTCCCGCCGGTGTCCGCTGGGTCCCGTGTGGCTGAGGCGCGGCCGGACCAAATGATTCCCTTCCGGCGGGACCGGTTCCCCCCCCCGCGGTGTCCCGCGGTTTGTCCCGCTGGTGGCCCGCCCGCGGGTAGTCCGCGGTTGCCCCCCCCCCCGCGGTTCGATTGTCCCCGCCGCGTGTCCCGCGGGTCCCGCGATGATGATGATGATGATGATGATGATGATGATGATGATGATGATGATGATGATGATGATGATGATGATGATGAGATGATGATGATGATGATGATGGTGATGCTGATGATGATGGTGCTGCTGGTGATGATGATGATGATGACGATGATGATGATGATGATGATGGTGATGCTGCTGATGATGATGATGATGATGAGGACGATGATGATGATGATATGATGATGGTGTCCCGATGATGATGATGATGATGATCATGATGTCGATGATGATGATGATAATGATGATGATGATGATGATGCTGATGGTGCCCCGATGATGAGGATGATGATGATGATCATGATGATTATGTTGATGATCATGATGATGATGACGGGGTCCCGATGATGATGAGTATGATGATTGTGATGATTATGATGACGATGACGATTCTGTTGATGTTGATGATGCTGATTATGATTGTGTCCCGATGATGATGATGTTGATGATGATGAGGTTGATGATGATTATGGCGTTCCGATGATGATTATTATTCTGATGGTGATGATGATGATGTTGATGATGATGGCGTCCCGATTGTGATGATGATGATGTTGATGCTGATGTTGGTAATGATGATGATGGTGCCCCGATGATGACGATGATGATGCTGATGATGATGTTGATGATGCTGATGATGATGATGGCGATGATGAGGATGAGATGATGATGATGGTGCCCCGATGATGATGATGACGATGATGATGCTGATGATGATGATGATGGTGATGATGATGATGATGATGATGATGATAAGGATGGTGATCATGATGGTGTTCCGATGATGATGCTGCTGCTGATGATGATGACGATGACTGTGTCCCGATGCTGCTGATGATGATGTTGATGATGATGATTGCGTTGATGGTGATGATGATGATGATGATGATGATGATCATGATGGTGGTGTCCCGATGATGGTGATGACCGTGATGATGATGTTGGTGTTGATGATGAGGACGGTGTCCCGATTATGATGATGTTGGTGATGATGATGTTGATGTTGATGTTGTTGATGTTGATGATGATGATGATGATGATGACGTTGATTGTGAGAGCGGTTGTGATATTGATAGTGAGATCGATAGTGAGACCGAATGTGATTTCGATTGTGAGATCGATTGTGAGATCGATTGTGAGATCGATAATCGGATCAACTGTGAGATAGATCGAGTGAGATCGATTGTGAGATCGATCGAGGGAGATCGATCGAGCGAGACCGATACTGAGATCGATAGTGAGATCGATAGTGAGACCGATCGCGTGAGA